AGACCGTTTGCTGGGCAAGGACTCGCAGACGCCCCGAGAGGGCTCAAAAGGCTTCAGAGAATGCATGGAATGTATATTCTAACACTACACTAAGGGCTGTAAATTATTATACTCTGCCCCCAGCTGTATGCCTCTCTACCCTCCCTCTCGATGGGTCTTTGCCGCACATTTGCCGATACCCGAAAAGGGTATATTTGGCGCGGACAAACAACGCGTGCAGAAATGCGATGTTCAGTTTCTTATGCAAGGCACTGTATTACCCCTTATGTCAAGGATTACCGTTTGTGTGATGGAAATTAATTCCAAATATGTAGGGTGGCACTGTCACACATCCCTCGGCTGCCTAATGGCAAGCATCCTGTTGCCTACGGTACAAGCTATCACAGTGTTGAAAACATGCTGTATACAGTACACTGACTCTACAGTAACACTGATCGAGGGTGGCGGAATGCCACCCTAGGGCAGCAAAGAAGGCACTTGTTATCTATTCCTCAGATACATGTAACTGTAAAGCTTGACACCAAGTATCTGATGGATCGAAGACTCTGACCGCACTGGCAGGCCGCCAACTTGAGAGTTAGAAGTTGATATCATTCAGTATCATTCAGGTCAAGATGAAATAACTATGAGCATTGTTGATGCCGCGCAGCGCCCGGGGAGCAAGAAAGATTATTTCCCTGCTTGTAGAGTCCCTGCCGTGGGTTTACCATAGACTTTTATATGTGAGGAATCGGACCTGGCGTGCGCCGCAGCGCCGAATACTTCCCAAGTAGTTGTATAAGGCTCTCTGGTGATCGAGAAAGCGAGCGCTTAACAGGGGTTATACCACTTACAGCCCAAATTACTCGAAATGTAATAGGAGCACTGCTCATAAATGGTAGGTGGACCGATCCAAATCTTACCGCCACCAACAAATAGGAACTATTACCCCTTATGTCAAGATTACCGTTTTGTGTGATGGAAATTAATTCCAAATATGTAGGGTGGCACTGTCAGGCATCCCCCGGCTGCCTAATGGCAAGCATCCTGTTGCCTACGGTACAAGCTATCACAGTGTTGAAAACATGTTGTATACAGTACACTGACTCTACAGTAACACTGATCGAGGGTGGCGGAATGCCACCCTAGGGCAGCAAAGAAGGCACTTGTTATCTATTCCTCAGATATATGTAACTGTAAAGCTTGACACCAAGTATCTGATGGATCGAAGACTCTGACCGCACCGGCAGGCTGCTAACTTGAGAGTTAGAAGTTGATATCATTCAGTATCATTCCAGCCATTTGCAGATCGATGGGCCTACTTTTTGAAAATCATTTACAGTCGGACCACGTCGGACAAGCAATTTCAAGTCCCCGAGAGACAGAAATCAGACCATCTGGACTTCTCTACCTTCTTCCGACGTCCCTGGCACCCACTCCGACCCACTCCGACTATACCTGGTTTTCTGAATTGATGGTCTATCGATCTGCAAGCGGCTGTCAGGTCAAGATGAAATAACTATGAGCATTGTTGATGCCGCGCAGCGCCCGGGGAGCAAGACAGATTATTTCCCTGCTTGTAGAGTCCCTGCCGTGGGTTTACCATAGACTTTTATATGTGAGGAATCGGACCTGGCGTGCCGCGCAGCGCCGAATACCTCCCAAGTAAGATAGGTTATCTCTGTTACGGTGGATTCTGGGAGCGGGATCCACGTTTCACGAAACAGATAGCCGCAACAAAGCCTCAACAACTTGAAGACCTTCCGATCTCGACATGTATTCTCGCCACGTCGCAATCAAGTAGGATCTAGACATGCGCGTTGGCATAACATCGACTGCCATCGAGGCTGTCAAGAGGCTGTTGCATTTTGTCACAAGCAGGGATACTTGAAGGTAAACGACACACTGACACTCGCATCGGCAAGGCATCGACTTACCATCTTCGACCCTGCATGACTCGGACTAGGCGGTACTTACTATTGGGCTTCGCCCTCCTCGTCGGCTAGGAGAGTGGCAGATGTGACATACGGGCCCACCCAGATACTCGGGCACAGGTTGCGCAAGGGAAATCCCTTTTCAGATATCTAATCCGACGGAATATTAATGTTCAGGTGCCTCAGCGATACGCAGGACTTCCTATGATCAGGGTCAAATACCGCCGAATGAGCTTGTTTGACCAGCGAACAACGTCGACATCATTGGAAAGTAAAAATACCAGGCGTCAGTGGTCACGGTCTCCAGCAAGTCTCCAGGTCGACGCCTTGATGGGTCCTCTGAATCGCGGCGGTCCCGAGTCCACTTTGACGAAGCAACCAAACCTTCCGCCGGCTTCACTGGCATTGCATCAGCCTTGTTCGATGTCAACAATGTGGAGCCTTGCTATGATGCTCGTTTCGATACGAGTCAGGCACAGCTGACGACGAAGCTGTAACTTTGTCTACGATGACGCTCTCTCGTCCGAGGTATTTCCCGGGATACCTGCAAGTATTCAATTTCCGACGGGTTGCTCATCAGTGGCTCATCCACGGAGCTCCTCCAAGTCATCGCTGAAACGAAGTATCGAGACTACTGGATCCCTATGCTCGCCGTGGAGCAGGTGAATCCCGGACTATCCAGCCTAACGCATACCCCGTAGTGCGTATGGACATTTTCCCATCAAGTCCTTCGCATCGGTTTTTTCTTGGCTCATTGCCCCGAGTCATTTGAAATATCCCAAGTCCGTGTCCATGAACCAACTCCTACCACGTCCCGCCAGCCTCAATTTGCTTTTTCTCCCCCTCCCCCTCAAGGCTCGAGGCACTGGCACGCCAGTGGCGATAAAAATATTTCAAGAACTGGGAGAGAGCATCGAATGTGCTCTACCCAGCGCTTGGCCTCGTGTTCGAGCATCTCAAGCTGCAACCGGAGAAAGAGTAGCAGTATAGCTGCCCTGGTTGTGGCTGATGTGGATGCCTAGCTCCAGAACGATCCGTAGGACGGTTCAATCAAGCAAGTTGTGCGGTGGCAACACCTTGGCCGTTGCACAACTCGCATGTAGCGGTTCCGTCCTGCCTCGTCTCCGCCTTCGCTTTGTTACATCCCTCATCGATTATTATAGGGCCCCAGCCACCTAGCAGGACCGACAGCTATACGGTATACCACTCTCGGTATTCATATAACGAGTATCAATGAAGTAATGTAGTAACGCGAATCACGACATACCACGACATTCGCCGCGATTGACCGACTCTTCCATCAACTTTCAAATCATATCCAAGGAGAGCGGCACCGTGTCCCTCGACTCGATGAGGTGGAGGATGGCTGGTATGCTCCCCGCAGGCAACCATTCATGGTAGGTCGGTGAAGAATACGCAAGTGATGCTTCATGACATATTAGAAGACCGTCCTTCGTTGATGTTCACCTGTGCTAATCCAGTCGAGCCGCTTTAGCCCACTGTCTCCCCGCCGGCTCCAGTGGCCTGGAGACTCAAGCATAGACAATCACAGGGGCCGTCGTATCTCTAACGGCTTTGACAAATTCGCATGTGGGCTGAGCCGGGTTCGTCCATGCACACTCTCGTCTGCCTCGTGTCCGCACCCTTCATTCCCTTGCGAAACCGGCGGAGGACATTTTGAAATAGCTCCTCCGGCATTCCTTACAAGCAGATCTATGAATACCATCATCCTCCGCCTGAATTTCAGTGTTGAAGTCGTTGTTGCTCATGATTCACCGGTACCTGCAGCATTTCAGTCGGCTCCATTGGCCTGGAGATTGAACCATCGTCAGACATAGTTATAGGAACCATCCTCCCTAATGACTTCCCGCCCGGGGAGGAACAGGCTTGCGTTCGTACGTCCACATCTCTGCTCTGCTTCACAGATCTCTTGGAGTCGTCGTGGAACCGGCGGAGGGCATTTCGAAATCGTCTTTCGACATGGATCCAAAGTAGGTCTATGAATACGGGAGTAGTGATTCATGACATATCACAACATCATCCTCGGCATGGATTTCACTGTCGAAGTCCAATTGAGCCGCATGGTTTAGCGGTTCTTCCAGCATTCCCGCCGGCCCCATTGGCCTGGAAACTAAACCGTCGGCAACCATGCTCAGCCATAGTCATAGGATCCATCCTGTCTTCTCTGCCCTTGACAAATTCCAACATAGAGCCGGTTCGCCTTCGTACATCCACACTCTGAACTCGTGTACCTGTTTCCAGTGGTGCAGTGGCTTGCTACCTCTCACACTCATGTTCATGCTCCCGTCCTCTCCCGAGTCCTCGCCGGTGTCCCGCTTTCTTATACACGTCTGGAGACGTCTGGGGAGCATACTGCACGAATCTCAGATCTTCTACCGTCGGTAGCTCACCCCTCGTATCTCCCCCCTATCGCCCCCCGCCGGTTGCGCCACTCATATTCCAGTCATACCGTCGGCGTCGAATATGTCATGGCCATTTCATTGAAGTGACGATTGCAAAACATATCCATACCTGCGGCCGAGCGCAGTCATGATCAGGCTTTAGATCCTCCCGTGATCTCCGTCAAACAAGCTTAAGCTTGCCAGCTTCGATCCGCGCGTATCTCCCGAATCCGAGTCTACGCTCCGCAATTCGGAAATCCAAGATATAATGTGCTTGATAGAGTTGGTACTGCCAGGACAGCGACGGATCTGGAATCGACGCTTGTTTGACATTTTCTGGGGAGGGTACGCTTCGCGTACATCCCGACGATCGTGCAACGTTCAACGTCCACTTGTGCAATCGAATAGCGCTTTTCGCAAATCCGCCTTGTATTCGCTATCTACGAGACAGTAGAGACACAAATTAATTTAATCGAGTCCAAATTATGCTCTCGGCCCTCTTCCGAGTAAGAAAAGAGTAGCATGGTGGTGGGGATGGATATAAGTCTAACACGCGTAACGCAATTGCAACCAGATGAAATGAATGAATGAAGTCTAATTAGTAGTAGTAAGGGACAGGTGGCAAGCAGGATCGATGGCGAGTAACTACTGGTATGGGGTCGCTAAGTATACATGGCGCCGAATAGTCCGCTCGAGAGTAAGTAACAGTAAAGAACATACACAGGTGAAACAGAAAAGCGACGGCGCGCGCGCTCATGTCTGGCGCTTGCGGTAGAGGAGCTTGGCGGTCTGATGTGGCAGGACGGCGGCCTCGAACCAGATCTGGCGCGGCACGACGCCGGGCTGCTCCAGCTGGATGTCGTAGTTGAGCAGCAGGTGGCCGATCATGAGCTTCAGTTGGTTGGCCGCGAAGAACCGGCCGGGGCATGCTACAAACGCGCGTCAGCATCATCCCTACTGTACGCAACAAAGTCTCGGGTCCCCACCATGCGAGCCGTGCCCGAAAGGCAGGTAATCGAGGCTGGTCGTGACGAGCAAATGCTTGCTCGCGGCGCCGTCCTCCTTGGCCGCGCGCGCGAACCGGAACGGGTCAAAGTCGTCCGGGTTCTTGTAGACCGAGGGGTCCGTGTGCACGGGGTGCGACGTCGCGGCGATGTTCGTGCCCTTGGGGATAAAAGTGCCGTCCGAGAACGTGTAGTCCTTGAGCGCGATGCGGTTCAGCGACCACGCCTGCGCGCCGTTCAGCCGCAGGACCTCGCGCAGGAAGCTGTCGAGCAGGTACATCTTGCCGAACGCGGCCTTCGTCCAGCCCTCCTCGGCGATCGCCTCCTCGACTTCCTTGCGGATGGGCGCGATGTACTGCTGGTTCGCGGCGAGGTAGTAGCACGAGTGCGTGAACGTCTGGGAGAGAGGATCGTTAGACGTGTGTCAGGTTGCCTGCGGGAGCGCGGGATACGTACATGGGAAATGGTGTGGATGGCGGCGACGTTCACGCCCAACATCCTCCGCGTCATGGTGTCCAGCGTCTCATCCTTCGGGACAGAGGCAATCAACCAGGACAGCATGTCATTCTAAACCAATGATCGTCAGTCCGGCGCGAACATTCTCCCCCGGACTCGCGGACGACATGAGAACGTATCAATTGTATATTCCACGTCTGTCCATCTCGCGGCGGAAGACCGAGGGAGAAGCGGAAACGGAAACTCACAGGCTGAGACGACCACTCGCCGTCGGCATCCTCCAGAGCCTTGACACGCTCGTCGAGGACGGGCTTCAGCAGCCGCATCCCCGTGCGGATCTGCGTATTGATGTTCGTAAACAGCCGCCCGACGATGCTACGAGCGACGACGATCAGTCAGTGAGATAATACTAGCGGAATGGAAGAGAGGGGATCGGGAACCGACGAGCATCGAGATTCGATAGGCTGGCGCTCGGAAGCGAGATAAGGATTTAAGAAACGGCGCAAGACAGAACAGGGCAGTGATTGGCGGGCAGGGCGGGAACCGGGCAGCCCGAAAAGGAAGTGCCATTCCCATAACGAGCCGAAGAGAAACGGTACTCACCCGTGCAGGAAACGAGGGAACAGGCAGAGCAGCAGGCGGCACTGGAACATGTCCACGATGAAGCGGAGGTTCAGGTTGATGTATTCCTGATCTCGGCCTGCGTGCGGAACCGGTGAGTCGTTGCGCAAGTGGCTGTATGCGCGTGTATCGAACTTACAGAGCGGCGCGCCCACAAGGATGCGGTTGTTGATCCTGGTCGACAGCTGACGGCCGGTTTCAAGGCAGGGGATGGCGGTCCACTCTAAGAAAATAGGGAGATGTCAATCAATCAAATCCGGCGGAACGTCAGGAAGCGCACCTTTGCTGTCGGTGAGCGGCATGTGCTGCTCGAATGCCAGGACGCACTCGTCGTGGAGTTCCGGCGTCAGGGCCTGGATGGACTTTGTCATCTTGGTCTGAATGAGCGTGGTGTGGATGGGGTTCAGGTACACCTTGGTACCGAACACAAAGTCAAGATGAAGCATCTGTGCGCAGTAGTTAGTGATGTGATGCTGAGAGGAGACGGCTGCCTGGGATACTCACGTCAACGAGGGCCTGGTCAAGAGAAAAGATGTCGTCGGGCGCGGCGCGCAGCTCTTCGGAGAGCTTTTTGCCGCTGACGACGACCATCCAGCGGTCGAGGATGGGGACCTTGAACCAGCCGCCGTAATACTGGACGGCGTCGTGAGTCGAAGCGTGGTTAGCGAAGGGAGGCCACGCACCCTCTCGTATCCTTCCTGGATCATGTCCCGGCCACGGAACATGAACTGCAGTGCGCCGACGTACGATGTGAGCGGTCCCGAGGGACCGATGGTAGGGATGCCATCGAGTGGACCGGGCCTCCAGAGGGCGCGGATGACGAGGGCGCCGACGACGATGAGGGTGAGGAGGACGTAGGGGGAGGCGAGGGTGCTCGCGGCGGAGGCGAGGAGGCCTCGCGGGGCGAACGTGGCGCTGTCCATGTCTGGGCTGGCAGGGAGGGGAGGAGAGGGGTTGGGATAAACGGGGAAATGGGGGGAGCGGCTGGGAGTTTATAAGAGCGGGTCGGAGGCACGATCAGAGGCGGAGGGGTGGCAGAAGGCAGACTGGGAAGGCCAGGAACGCGACAGACGGGACGGCTGGAATGATGCTTATCATGAGCGAGCGAGGATCCAGCGCAAGCCGAAAACAAATGGCGTCCAAACCTGAGAAAGGGCCGGGAAGACCAACAAGTGATTCATTAGAGGTGCCCCGAGCCGTGGACAGCGCCTGGCGGACTGGCTCCTTACGAGACCTGCAACGTAACCGATCACTCTCACCCTGATCACCGCCTCATCTCCGATGCTCCCAATCCGTCCTCGCTATTAGATCCCCATCGGCACCCAGCCTTCCCCTTCCATCACCGACTTCTTCCCGTCGTGTTCAGCCAGACCACGGCCCAGTTCTGGCCCGCGCTCGTTGCAGGCCAGCCGTCCCCTCTTGTGGCTTTCTGCGTATCCCCCTCGACCATCGTCACTCGTCTCCGACTGACGCAATGCCCTCGATATGCGCATCCATCGCAGAAGGCCCGCCGTCTCGTAAATCGTGGAGCGTCGCCAGGCGCCATCACCGCGACGTATTCTTATCTCTTGACAGGAGTGCCCCGTCCTTATCCGTTTCAGTCGGACTCGCCGTAGATGGATGGAGTCCAACATGCGCCTTTCGGCTCCCCTGCGTCCACCTCGTTGTTCCAGCGCGTCGCGACGTGTCTTCCCTGTCCAACCTACCCGACTCGCCCTTTTCTCGGACCGCTATGGACTTCCATACCGCGGAAACGCCACCCAAATAAAAGGCGTACAAGTACAGTTGTCATCCAGACGCTTCGAGGCAACAATCCTGACTTGCCCGCGTCGGCCGTCAACCATCCCCGCTGCTGGAATCATCGGGTCTAAACCATCTGAGCATTCCAGCTTCGCGCGTCATTCAAGCTCGCGTGTCCGGACCTGCAGGAAGACGCAGGGATCGTCTCCCGCATCTGTACCGCGACATATCAGCTGGAAAAGGCTTCCCTCTCTCCACACCCCCCGGGTGGCTATCGTCTCCGCAGATAACGTAGCGTCGACGTCGACGACGTAGAGCACATACGTAGACACAGCAAGTGTATTCAGCCAGCCGAACAAGAAAAACTTTTTCGGTCGCCCGGTACCCTCAGCCTGAGATCGCGTCCGAGGCCATGGCCAATTCACCAACCTTCATGGGGCCACCGCATTTGGGCTCCGCCACGTGCGCCTGGTGGGTGCCCGGCCGATCAGATCTGTGCGCCAGATATGCCTCCGACTACACCTTCCCCGCCATCTAGATTAGGCTCGCTTGCGTAGGCTATAGGTTATTAAACTCGCGGTCCCATGGTGCGCTGGCGGTGCATCCGCGATACTCAACGCCAGGCTTATCCGACAGCGCCAGCGAGAGTCCTCTCCATCGTCCGCGCTCAGCCACAGTCGCGTACGTACGTACTTGATTGCGATGGCTGGATATATCATATCATATCATATCGTCCGCCCCGCCGCGTTAGCAGCGCCTGGCATTATGAAAGCGGCTCGCTGGGGCCTCGCCGCTTCCCACCCCCGCTTCTCACGTCACCCCCTCCCTCACCATTGGTCTGACTCCATGAGGCTGCTATTTATACGCCCAGCCAGGATTGGAGAGCGTGATGGGATTATGGCAGGAATCGGCTTTTGGCGAAGGCGCGATACTTCGGAGAGGCCTCTTGCGCCTGAATTAAAATCCAGCCCCGGCATATGTACATTGTCTCGCGGCTGGGTGCGCTTGGCTTCCAGTCGGACGTATATGCGGTACATACCCGTCGGCCCGACGCAGGAATACGACATCCCATCTTGTATCAGATATCAATGTTTCTTATGCCTGCCAGGACCCGGTGCATCACCACCGAATCCCAGCGCGTCATTCATTGGCCGCCGCCTTCCCGGGCGTGGCATCCCGCTCGTGCGCGCCGAGCTCAACAGGACGCCCGCGACGCGTTCGTTGGTGTGAGCAGCGTTGCGGAGACCAGGAACAAGGGTGAATAGGGGGCAGTGCCACAGATGCGACTTGGCAACCCGCCCGCAAGCCTCTCGGCCCCGCAGAACATCAGCGCTGGGTCCAGGTGGACGTATGAGAACCACGTCTTTGTTCAAGAAAATACTGAAGGCGCCGCCACCGAGGCCAGGTCTCGAGACTCGGGCGCACGTACTGCCGCCAATCGCAAGTCTTCTATGAATACCGCTCAATCCGGGTTGAAGGTCGCCCCGTAACGGACAGATGGCAGAGCGTCCATGGGTCCCGTCGTGCAAAGAAATCAGGACTCTCCGCCATTGGCTGCGCGCGGAACACAGACATAACCACAACCCAGGCCATCCCGCGACATCGCGGGACCGCCTCTCGCACAAAGTCCCATGCATGCATGCACGCACACCCCCAAATCAGCCTCAGCACATGCGCAGTGGGCCTTAGACGGAGAACGCGCCATACTGCATATCCGCAGACCGGGACAATGGACGCGGTTAACATACCGATTGCATACGGACGGGGCGTAGAGCCGCAGAGCTTGAGCCCTCAGGCCCAGTTGGAATTGCTCCGGATTTCTTCCGAGGGATGTGATGTTCGGGCTGCCCGGAGCCGCGCAATGGTCGCGGGGAACCTAGACGGCAACATAGTGGGCGTTCATAGAACGCACACTAGCCGAGAGAAGTGTGCAGGACAAATGAGAGAAATTTGCGGCAAACGGCCATTTTGCTCGCCCAGACCCTCAAGGAAGGGAGGCGATCCAGACTGGCTGGGATAGAGTCGCCTTGTCTCCAGAAATTCAGATTAGCCGGTCCACAGATATAATAGAGGTCAGTAGTTACCATCGCATTTGGCGGTATAGAGACGACACAGAAGAAACTTTGCCTACAGCGTATGACCCAACGTACGACGCATCAGCGGCACCGAGGACAACAACGGTCTTAAGCTTGACACCTTAGGAGCTCCACAGCACTCGTCGCGAAGCTGTTGCCCCTGACCGACGGAAGACAGACGCGCAGGTTGAGAAAGATATCTGATAACCTGCGAACGCAGCTGCGCGGTCAAATGGCTCGGGACTCTGGCAGCTCCTCCATATGGACTATGCTGGCCCAGAAGAGCACGAGCCCGAGTCACTCTCTCGAGATTAGGTGGCGTTTCCCACCGTAATCCAGGTGATTGTGGCTGCTCATCCCGGGGTGATAGACAGGGCGTCAATTCGTAAACGGTCGATGGTGAGTTGCCGCGAGCGAGAACATACGGCTTAGATCTAACAGGGATTAGCGATCTCGGGGATACGTATGTCACGGATGTTGCGCACCCTTTTCAGTCAAGGTTAAGTTTGACGCGGCTCCGCTCATTGCGAAGGAATGGCTAATTAGAATAGGCACTTGGTGCACCGACAATGTCCTCTTGAGGTACATTGCAATTGGGCGCCTTGGGGCTTCAGGCGCAGCATCAAACGCAGTCACTTTTTCATTGTCCTATAGTCGTCAGATGTCTCATGCAGCTTGCCGAATCAAATCTCGTACGGCTGCAAAGACAGGGCACCGAGTCCAGATCCATATCTGCGACTTGCACGTGCTTTCGATTGAGGACCATGAGCAGGATGGTAATCCGAGTGACGGAAACCGTCAGGTCACAGGGACCTATAGACCATTGTAAGCCAGAGTATCTCCGAGTTCTTGTCGAACGTTAGAAGCTTTCGGGCATCGCGGGGTGAAACCAGCTTGATGTATGAATAGCCTTGGAATAGGCGACCGGAATAGCTGGCATGGATCGAGGCCACGTCCACATTATGCCTCACGAGGGTCCAGAGATACCACTAGTACCGACGTTGACTAGACAGGACTTCAACATGAGCCTTGGAAGGAGTACTGCGACTCTCGGCGAGTGCCAGGAGTACAGTAGTGTTCAACCACGCGCGGCGTGATACATTGCTGTCCAGCATTGCATCGGCTCGGCCAACTATCCCCTATTGGCATACTCTAGCGGTCATACAATACAGCTATTAACGCCCATAGCTGAGTCAACATCAGGGCCCGTGAATCCTGGTTGTATGCTAAGAGAAGTCAGCAGAAAACACTTATCACCGTGTACAACCTTCCTCTTACATGTTGGAATTTCGGGGTAATCGGTCGAGCTTGCGAGCTCGCGCGCGATAGGACAGGGCCGCCGTAGGCGGCTGTTGTGGGTGAATGTTTATGCGGAACTCGTATATAGTCGCTGTATCTACTCATTGTACGGTACGCGATTGCCCTTCGGGCAACCGACCGCCTGGGGCAAACGCGCTCATCTTCCGTTTGCTTGGAATATTTCAACATTACATTTCTCTGATGCCTGCAGAGTCGGACGTCCACGCTGAATAGCATGCATGACACGGTACCCCGAGGCCTTTGTGAGGAGTACAACATCCCGCTGCCAAGTCGATGATTGCTATCCAACCGTGGGTTGTAGAGACTCGGAGAAGTCCGGCTTTAAATCATACTTGCGGAAGGTCCTCCCATTGGCTGGTATGAATTGGAGCGGAGTTGGAGCGTATCTGCGAAATATGTCCGTGCCTCGCTAGTCCACATTCTCACTTCCACCTACAACCTGAAGACATACAACGTGAATGATGACACGTTTGTGTTGACAATGCAAATGTAGGTCCGACATCTACTGCACTCGAAGCGCCAGCGCCCCCCTACGTTCAACCTACTCTTCAACAAATCGCCTTCCTCCTTTCTCCTCGTAGCCAGCTCATCCAAGTCCCGGTTTGCGCTCAAAAACCTTCCGCTGAGCCAGTCTTCCGATCCACTGCTCAGCCGGACCAACAAATGACTTGCAAGCTCTGTACTAGTATCCACTAGGAATGGTGTGATCGAGGGCACGTTGTTACCCATGGCAGTGCTTGGCAGGAGGTAAGATGTGGATCAGATGCATTTCAATGTCATGGTACGTACAGGATAGCTCCCGGACGAATGGATCAAACCTTTACTCCGTCGAATCCATACTCTGTGGTTACAGTTGATCAGTCTGGATACGGATTAGCTCACCAACGTCGATGAATTCGGCCAGGCGGATCAATGCATGTTTCGAAATCTGGTACGCACTTGCACCAAGGTCCCTATGTTGAGCTAGTAAGGAGGAACGAAGGATAGCATGCCTTTTCGCTACCAGGGTCTTGTGTATCACATTGAAGATACCACCTTGCGATTTCAGGGAGCAGTCAGTTCCCTGGCATTCCCTGTGGATAGATGCTTACGAATGCTGACATCCTACGTTAACTTTAGCACACTTCTTACCCAGAGTTGAGAATGGAGATGAAGGCTTACCATGCTCGTCCACCATTCGGTCGGATCGGCGTCCGCCAGCCTTGCCCACTTCTCCATGGAACCCGCGTTGGCGATGACGACATCGATCCTTCCAAACTTCTCGATGCACTTCTTGACACTCTCGCTCACTGCTTCCCCGTCAGTTACATCAACCGCGTACTGCTCGACAGCCGCGGATGGTGCAAGCACACCAACGGGTTCAGCGACAGCTAACAGGGCGTCCTCAACCTCGACGTTGAAGTGATGAACAAACCATCCGCGCCTGCCCGTGAATAGGCCCGAGCTGTCGACGGCTTTCCTGTGTAAAGGTAAGTTACTAGTATGGCATTCCAGCACAGAGGGCACGTACACCAGTGATATAGATGATCTTTCCTTTGGCGGCGTCTTTAAGACGTCTGCTGAGATCGATACCTGGGTACACGTCATTGTGCCATATGATGCTCGGGTGCTCTGCTTGTGGGGCCATACTGCGATATCGTGTATCGGACGGACGTGCCAGGACGCACTACTTATACAGCCTCGATACTTCTTTCTGTACCGCTGTGGCCGAGGGTACTGTAGTAAGCGGTTCCTTGTTTTCATTGCGCCATTGTGCCTCATAATGCTTTGACATATTGATCAGCGGGGTTTGTAGGGTGGAAGTCCTAAACACGAGTTTTTATTGATTCATGGCCAGGCGCTGGGATATTGCGCCGGGTACGTCACTAAGAATTCAGATATCCAATTTCGGCGATCCGTCTCTTCAGGGCCGTCCTTGGGACGACGAAGCAGCACGAATATGAATGATCAAAGCTTTAAAGGCAGACCGTCCCAAACAACTTATTCATTTCTTGCCCAAGTACGCCACCCCTAGAGTACATATGCCAAATATTACAAGACAAGGGTGTCGACAGAATAGAAAGGATAAGAAATGGTAACATAGTAGCTACGTATGCACTTCCTGGGCAAGGAGTGCCTCTATATGCCTGGTTTTGTGGCAAAGGTGGCTTCGCAGCTTGGAATATGAAGAACTTAAAATACGGGCCTCCAATTGACAGCATCTTGATAGCGGTACTCCTAGCGGACGAGCTCTAAGTTCCCATGTTCACGTAGCCAGGCTTGGGACTTGCTGTCAAGTTGAGAGAAGACGCCACGGTCCATATGAATTGATTTCAGAGGGAAGTCTTCGGTGTTGCGGACCTTGACGAGCGTACGCAAGTCGTTCCCGAGTGTTATAGGAACACTACGCCCATGCCACTTGGCGTGCAGATCCAACGTGTGCAAGGCTGCGCAAGGCTGCGCAGAAGGGTCCTTTTAGGTTGGAAGAATGATCGACCTTGTAGAGAGCTTTCACAACATGGGACCAACACGGACATAATTGCAGTTCTTTGATGCTAGGGAAAGCCGCGCAGAAGGTGGCAGCAGCCAGACCAACAGTACTGATGTTGCCCGGAGCCTTTGCTACGTCCAGGTGGCTCCAATCCAGGACTCTACGCTCCCCGTGACGAAGAATCACCTTCTTCAATTGACTAGTGAATGCGGCGTTTCTTCGTAGCGCCGCGGTCATCGCGTTCAGCGGCGCAGCATCACATTCAGTCAGACGTAGCAGATTGACGTTCGGGGCATTCAGCAGAGAGAAGAAGCGGGAGCAAAACTCCTTATCGTCCCTGCAGAAATTAACGTCGAGTAACTGTAGAGACCGAAAATAGAGAGGCTGGTCCTCTTTGTTGTCCCCCGTGAATGAGATGCATGGACCGACTATGATGAGTTTCATCAAGGATGGGCATTCCGAGAGAAGACGTCGGAACGCCGGGGCATCCACCGGAGAACGGACCTGATCCAGGGTGAGAGCGGTCAAACCACGGAGGAGATGGGTATGTCGATCCATTCGTATGGTGCCCATCGTGAGCTCATTAATATGAGGAGCTCCATTTCTTAGCATCCTTAGAGTATCATCGACAACCCACGGAAATTTTCCGCCGCGTACCACCGAGAGTTCCTTGAGTTTCGGAAGATCGACGTCCTGTAACTGCTTTCCCAGGGTGAGCGGCTCGTCTTCCATACCCTCGTCGACTTCACTCTTGAATTCAAGATCCAACGTCTCCCACCTCTCAGATGTACTGATCAGCTGTTGCAAGAGGCCCAGGACACGCAGAGTCATTCTTTTCGTCAACTTGAATGTAACACGAAAGCTATCACGTTCCGGCTGAATGTCGACAGTGACATGAAGAGGGCAGTTCTTCGTGCGCTCCAGCTGAAGTCCGAGTAGTGGACCAGACGTGGACATCGAAAGAGATACATAGCTCCAGAGTTTGGGAGTATTGACAGCCAGGCTTCTCCATCGCGGAGAGACCCAGGAAAGCTCGAAAGTGTACGTAAAAGTCGCTTCAGGTTTGGTAGCGACCATGCCCTTCTTGCCACCTCTAGACGCCGTCGAAGAGCTGAGGTAGTACCATATCATGAGAAGCAACTCGTTAGGCAATTTGTTGATGCCTTCATCTTGTATCGTTCGACCGTTGAGGCCAACTGGAAGCTGCGAAAGAATTGAGGATCCTGGGTTGACTGGCATTTCTTGCATATTGACAGCCACAGCGTTGGTGGTCGGCATACTGGAAACGATAACTACATCAGACTTGTGGCTCATAAGGCGCGTAAGTCCTGAGTCATGCCTGTTTCACTGACCTGTATGTAAACCTTTCTAGAGTCGGTAGTGTTCAGGAACAGCGTCGAGCTAGTGAGTTATGATATGGCTTCGAAATGCGACGACGCGGGCGACGGTGGTGCAGTGTTGAAGAGAACTGGACCTGAGCCGCATTTATAACGCACGGGGGTACCATTGTTCTTTCGGCTAAGCCACATCGATCAAAACCGGTAGCGGAGTTCGAATTGCGAGTGTGGCTGCGACTCTAATTGGTTGCCACGGCTGTCAACGGCCCATCGGTTCTGCCTTGCTCGCTATCGTGGAGGTGCAGACGGCCAAAGAGCGCAGGAGGGCGATCGTTTGTACGGCAGCAGATCAATCCAATACGACATCCAAAATACATCCAATCATTCCAAGTCCATATATCATGATTATACCGCCAATATAGCCCAAGAGTCCATAATCCACTAAATCACCGACCTATCGGTCAAAGCGCACAGGTCAATATCAAAACCCGCATGAAAGGGCACACCGGGAGCCAGTGTTCACTGTCCCTCCGGCTTGTGCTCCGATATATTTCGCTTTTCCATCACCCTTTGCGCATGTTTCTTGGCCTGTTCCTTCTCCTTCCTCTTCCTCTCTTTCTCCTGTTCCGTCACTTCGTCATCGTAGAAGGACACGGTGCGGCCAAGGCTATCACGCCAGATGCCATCTCTCTGTACTTTTCCTATTCGCAATGAGTCAAGTCGGCGGTGTACTAGAGCCGGAAGTGACGTAGAAATGCTCACCATACCGGCCCGTGTTCTGGTTAGCCTCGAGCGCCTCCATCCATTCGCGCACGATCTGCTTGGAGTCTAAATCCATTGACATTGACATGAGAAACGCCTGCAACAAGCAAAGGGACTCGGGTACTTACCGACAAGGACGTTCACCTCCTCCGAATGGAACCAACTCTGGGTATCTTGGTTTCCATTGCCCTGAATGCCGACCTAGCATTCTGTTCAGAACGCATGTCCATCATTCCCGTAAGGAATGGTTACTCACTTCATCGTCGATAACCATGAACTTTACTATAATTACGCACGCATTTGTAAGCAAGAGGAAGACGTCGTACACGCGGACATGAGAATGGACTAACCATGACAGTTACGGCTTTTATAGATCGCATTAATAGGCCGGATCTGATCCTTGCCTGGAACACGAAGTCACGCATTCAACTTATGACTGCTTCCCTGCATGGCCTGGCGTACGCACCTGTATACCAGTACACGTCAAGGAACTGCTCCTTCCCGACCTTCTTCAGCTCCTTGTACATCTTTATCACCACCTCCTGATTGGTCCCACCCTAGAATCGCCCAAGGCCATCAAGAACATATTGTCAACTCATCCACAGGTCTCCGTACCTGGAATGGAATACTCTCCCCCTTATCATTGAACCCAAGGTCAAGGTATAGAACCACTTGCACTCCCCGCTTGGCCGTGTCAATACACGCCCGGACCACAGGCGCAGCGTTCAGCGTCGGAGTCTGACTGCGCACAACCGTGAGCATGATAGTATACCATCCCCAAAGGTTGAATGGTAACGTACATGAACACCTTGCGCTTCGCGTACCTAAACCCGGCAAGCCACGCAGCATTCTGCGGCGTCCGGATATCCTGGTGTCCCGGCACTGTCATTCACGCGCCAGTCAGCTCAGACGAGACAGCAGCAAGGCAAGGCAACTGACTTCCATGAGGCTTCCTGTTCACCAACGCAATGGGGAACGGATCGTGTGCTTTGTGGATCAGGTGCGGCCTGAAATCCTCCAGCAGCGTATCATCGTCGATATTCGCCGTCGTGGGACGAATTGTACCTGCGTTTAGGGCTGACCAGACGAAGTCAATCTGTGGGCTGACGGACGCACTCGGAGAGGTACACACATACCTTGAGACAGGGCGTGTTTCCGCTTCCGCACCGCCTCCGGCGAATCAAACAGCTCTTGACCATTCCCATCCACGGGCGGCACAGCGCGCGACGTCGACGTCCGACTGTCCTCGCTGGCGCTCTGGCTGAGCGGCTCCGGCGCGGGCCGCTCCAGCTGCCCATTCGCATCGGCTTCCTGGCCAGCAGACGCACCGTTTATTGGGCGATCACGGTCCTCCTTATCCTTGGGATGCCCGCCGATGTCCTGATCCACGGCGGTGCTCGAACCAGCACTGCGCGCGTCAGGGGCGGCGGTACCATTCTTCTCGTGGGCCTCCCCATCCGTGTCGTGGTTAGACGCACTGTCTTGCTTGATCTTGGCTTCCACGATGGCGTGCGCCAACTGGACTCCTTTACTCTCCCCGTTGGACGGCGAGCCGTCTATCGCGCGTACCAAGCCGTCATGAAACGATAACGCAATATCCAGTAAAACTAAGCACTCACTGTGCGCAATCCCTGCATCACCGTCCTCCGCGCCGTTCTCCAAAACATTCTCTACCACACACCCGGTCAACCATCCCCAACCCCGCAGGAAAACCAAATACACTCACTTGAGCTCTTCCTCCTTCCCCCAATACCATGCCTCTGCATCATCGTCTCGACCGCGTCCGCAAACCGCTGGCGTCCCACCTGACTCCCGCTCGCCTCCCCGGGCGCCTCCAGCCCCCCAAAATCGAACCCCATCCCCCTTAGCGCGCCCTGCCACTCCCCATGGTGCCTCCGCACGTCTTTCGCGCGCGCGCGGTCGCCCTCGCCCTGCTGCTTCAAGAGCGCGCGTGCAGCCCGTGCCGCGCGGATCACGTCGATGTGCCGCAGGAACGGGTTCTCGCCGTCGAACTTGAAGTTCGACGAGGGCGGCGGGACGGGGTGCGCGATCAGCGGCGGGAGCGGCTTGAAGCGGTTGTTCCAGGAGAGGACGAAGGTGTCGACGAAGGCGGAGACGATGGGGCCTTCGAGGTGGATCATCATCTAGAGGGGGTGATGGGGATGTGTACGTGAGGGGCGTAGCAGGAGATGTTATGTACGAACCTCGACATTAGGACGGTCCTATTGAGTGCGTGTGGTCGATGAGAATTTGGATTATTATGCAGTAGAACAGAGCACAACGGACCTGAATGTTATTACTTCATGGTCCGGATAATTAGTATCACCAGTTTCAAACAACCCGGGAACCATGGAGACGTACCTATTAAGCAGCACTACCTTCTCATCCACTACCATAAACTTGGCGTGGAACGTCCCGAGGAGTACGCGATGAAAGTTCTACGCAGTCAAATGGTCAGCCATGGCTCACGTTAGCATACTGGCTGTACTGGCTCAGTGAAGGCGCGTTTCGTACGTACAATGACTTCGAGGTCGATATTAGGGATTTCACTCGGATCGGGGAGCTCAACGCCCTTCCACGGGCCAGAATTCGGCTTAACCTGCACATGGCTTAGCGCGGACGTTAGGTTGGTGCGCGGCATATGAAGACAAGTCGCCACTTACTTCTTAAAGAATTGCTTCGGTGTGCCTCGGTCGTAAATAACTGAGCGTATGTCAAGCTAAATGTGGTTGAGGGCCAACAATAATAAGAACTGACGTTTCACTATGATCTTCTCTTTTTGTCCTCTCTCGCCGACGCGTTTGCTCAGCTCCCTGAACGCATTGAATATAGTCTTGTGGGAGTCAGAGGGTCTGTAAAGAGAATGCAAGATAAGCTCAGCAATGGAGTTCACTTGGGCCAAACACTGACTGAAGGTAGTTAGTAGCTCTGGTGTATAGGAGAGGCATCAGTCAATGTGCTGATGACCTGATTCTATGGTGCTCACAATAAGACTTGTTTCTCGGCATTAACGATGCAGTGGCTGATTGGGGAGGGAGTGTTAGGTTCGCTCGGACGGGAAGGTCAGCGCGTCTCACTAGTAGTGTTTCATGATGTCAGGAATTACACTAATGATAGATAGAGGCATAACAGCCGACGATGCCATGAGAGGTGGCGATACGAGGCCGCTCAAGGGGTCTCGAGCAAGACATAACAGTACATCGGAATATATCTAGACTCGAACATCAGATGCCTCCTCGAATGCCCTAAGCGTACGCATACTCACCTTGAGGAAAAGGTTAGATGGCCTGTACGGGAAGTTCCCCGATTGCTGAGACGCGTCCAAGTGAGTATCAAACGCTCTCGCCTCAGCCAGCGCCTACTCACAGCGGCCTCGTCGAGGTCCTCCTGCGTAAGGTCATTATCGCCCCTGCCCTTATACAGGTCGTGTCTAATCTGGAATCGCAGCAATAGACGCTTCAGAAAGAACGGTTTCGGGTACGTCTTCCACGCGGCCCTGCGCGGGCTGAGATGGGGGTTCTCCGCGAGCGCCTGGGTGACGGTCGGGCCCGTCCTGACGAGCTCGTGCGGCTTTCTGTCCTTTTCCTTGTTGGTCGACATGGGCGGTGGTGCAAGCAGCGGAGTGCTACTCGCGCAGGGAGCAGGTCATACTGTATTTATAAACTCCATTAGCAGCCTGTCAAGGGGCACTGCGCGCGGTCGGGCCTACCCGCCACACTCTGACCGAAACGGATGACGACACCACGCGGCCATCTATTCTTAGACCGCTGCGCACCGCCACTCTCAAAATAGGCTGCACTGCCACAGATCAGCGATGGAATTCTTCTTCGGCAGCTCAGTGGCAGCTCTGACAGCCACCGCTGCATTCGCAGCGAATTGACCACAATACCAGCATCGAACCACCTTCACGTCGTACCAGCTGTGCAACACAGCCATACACCTCTACCAGCGCCATATGTATTGGCACTGAGTTTCCCGCAGCCGCCAAGCAATCCTTGCCTATTGCAACACAGCACCCGATCCATAGACTTTCACAAAGACACTGCATTTTTATCAAGATTTTCTACGTCTTTTTCTGATTCTACCTATTTTAATCCAAGTAAAATAGCCACTTCAAAGGCGCCCCGAGGACGACGTCGCAGCAGCCGCCAGATCACTGTAAACCATCAGCGCAGGACGAGAGGAGGAAAACAGCATGGCCGACCTGAAAGCTGTCTCGATGAAGCCCTTGATGTCCTTATAGCTGACCACCAGACAACTCTGCTCATCCCGGGAGATAAGCATGATCTTCTCCTCCGTACCGGCGTCTAGCTAGCGGGCAATCAGCTACAGTTACCAGGACCAGAACAGATACTCACCTTGTTCAAGCAAGTCAGAACATGTGACAGGTTTATCACAGGGTTGCCATTTTCATCGACCTGGTGGAAGACGTAGTCCCTAAAGAGCTTGATGATGTACCTGTCACCAGTCTCCGACCATCGTGGTTCACGGGCGAACCTGGGGGGACACCATGAATGAAGACAGTCAGCTCGGAGACGCATAGATATACGCACTCAGGTCGCTCGTTGATAAATCCCAGTTTAGACAGAAGCCGGACCAATCGCGCGTTCTCCAGCTCACTCATCAGCTCCGCCTGAAGACGATCCACGGAGCTGTCCACCCGAGGTCAGGTCCCGGTACGCATAAACAGCGTAACACACGCACTTCTGCGCCTCCTCCATCTCGGCAATAACCCTGCTGCCCAACATATCCTGGAAGAACTGCCCAATAGTCTACCCTGCGATGAGTCTCGCATGGACAACGAGCGATCCCAAAACAAGATACCTTATGCGGCCCGGGCGTCGAGTACAGCCACCTGACCACCTGCTTGACGTCGTTCGAGTACGTCCGCCCAATCGTGTCGAGGGCCTTCGCCAAGTTGTTCGTATTCGCGGCGGCGACGTTCTGGCAGCACAGCGTGACAATGAGCGCGCCGAGCTTATGGAGGTCCTCCACCTGGAACACTGGCATTATCTCGCTCGGCGCCTCCCATGTCAGCGCGTCGACGATACCGCAGGAGCCCAGCCGCACTCTGAGAGGGAGAACAGGTAAGACCGGGGCAGAAATACCTATTTGTGAGGTCATCCTACCTGTTCTTGTCGGTGACCAGGACCTTCGTCACGTCAAGCGTGCGGACGGCGATACCCCGGTCGTGCACGGCGCGGATGGCAGAGGCAATCTGTACGATGTACGACCAGAGCGTGCGTTCCGGGAGCAGCTGCGCCTGCGCTTGCAGACGGCCGCCGACGAATGACGGCGCTTTAGGTTTGACGTACACATCATACAGTGTTTGGGCATTTGCATGGTAGTCGTAGACAACAACCAGCGCTGAGCGAACCGGGAGTCAGAGACAAAGGGCATCAGTGCGCAGCGCAAGAGATTGAAAATACTGACAGTTATCGCTGAAGGCCCGGGTAGTGAAAGCTTCCCTCACGGACACGATATTCGGATGTCGGATCTTGTTCCATGTCTCGACAGCAGCGAACGCGTTAACGTGCGACAGCCCATATCCTGGCACCGGAGATTTCAACAGCAGTCAACCAGAAACGCCGTCGGACACTTACTCTCCATCCTTCGAAGAGTGTAAGGAACGCCGTCCTTCTCGCTGATAGCTCTATAAACGATCGAAGACCAGTTGCCAAATTTACGCCGTTCGCCGACAGTAGGTTCCAAGGGCACCAGGGTGTGGTACCCTTGCAGTTCCTCCGGAAGATTGAGTCCCGGCATAGGCGCTGTACGGATGATCTCCGAGCGGCGCTGCAGCTCTTCCCGTATGTCGTCTGGTATGAAGTAGTTGCGAGTGAATAACGAGGGCAGTGGCCGAGTGTACAAGTGATAGTTCAACTGTGCAAAACGTTAGACGTGAATGCGGACAGGTAAGCTACGATGACGTACTGGCTGCTGAACGAAGGTAGGCTGCGAGTGGGGGTAGTACGCGTTCATGGAGTCGTAATCGGTAGATAACCCCATCTGCTGGTGATCCCCAGTCATGTCATACATACTGGTGTCGATCTGTTGACAGTCGGCTCACGGCTCGCTACAGTCAGGGCACAATCGAACTCACCGCCTGCATTTGGGCTGCTAGCTGGTCCACAGAAGCGTCTCCATTTCCACCGGCAGAGTAAGAGTAAGGATCGTACGGGTCGTTCTCGGTATAATCATCATAGGATACAGTGGATGAGGAGCTGGCTTGAGTGTTAGGCGCTGAGACATCGCACACTCAAGGGTACATACGCGGGTGCAGGTATCTCGGACTCAGCCTGCTGCTCCGATTCTTGTGGCGGTGAGGTAGAACGAGCGGAAAGACTGGACTTCGGTACGAATACTGGAGCATTGACAGCTTGGGCGGGGAGAGCGGGCGCAGCTGGGGACTCCGGACGTGTACTGACAACATAAGGTCAGAACCCTCAGTACCACCGCAGCCTCGTCGCAACCTACGGAGAGGTAGTTTCCTGCGCCTGACAACTACGCGTCAGCTGGCAAAAGCAAAGTCTGCAGACAACTCACAGGCGGATGATAATAGATACAGCCCTTGTCTTGGAATTTACATGAACTGAAACTCGGGTTCACACGTCTCCCGTCTATCACCACCAGCAAAGTATTCACCCATAAATCAAGATATTTCTACATTGCCGTTGCGTCGAGTCTGCAACGCGCATCAGCGACGCGGGTCCGAGGCGATTCTAAACCGAACTGACGCACCTTTCCTGGAAGACGAGGATGGGCTCTTGGGCGACGCCGGCCTACCGTCGCCGTCGGGGCGTGTTATTTTCACCGCAGCATTCGCAGACTGAGGCCTCCAGAAGAATCCGTTGTGAGTGTCTGCACCGCTCTGCATCTCCGTCGGCCTGGATGCAGTCGCGTTGACTTGCTTGCGAGCGGCAAGCGCGATTATCTCAATTGCGTCCGAATGTGGCAACAGTCCCGGACTCCGGACGGGTTACACAATCGCAAATAAAGGCCAACAGTTTTGTGGCGGGTCGCGCAATGTCTTCTACAAGATATCGCTACATCGTAGGAGCCCTGGACTCTGATAAATTACGATATTACTCCACAGCATAAATCCTTATATCTGCAAGTGGAGTCTATGCAACCGAAGACTCCTTCTCCATCGAAGGTACAACGCTGACCTCCTTGCCATCCTCGATGCCCCACTTCTTATCCACTTCCGTATGCAGCGGCAAATGCTTCATCAGCAAGCTTACAAGCAGACCTACCCCGCTGACGCCGATGGTGAACTGCCACACAGGCTTCAAACTCTCGCCGAAGGCTTGCCGCACTTGGGTCTTTAATGGCTCTTCAAGTGTCGGTATCACGGGAATCGCAGAGTAGGCTGAGGCGACACCTTCGGGAAAGCGGGCGGTGAAGGCAGCTGGAAGATGCGTGCCCAGCTCGTTCTGGAGGATAGTCCCGCCGATGGTAACACCGATAATCTATGGCAAGAAAAGATCTCAGGCTTGGACGGGGCACAAACAAGACCCGCTTACGTTGGCAAAGTTGCGGAAGAACGTGTACAGCGCGATAGCACGGGCGTTCGACTGTATTGGTATGGGAGCCAGTATGGGGAAGAAGACCGCGCCGCATACGGAGCCGAGGAAAGCACCAGTCAGGATCTGGAAGCCGATCGCCCGCGCTCGAGATGTATCATATGCCATTGTGCTCAAGAGCCCCGTGCCAACCAAGATCATAGCCCACGCCAGCCATAATTGGGGACGATACTGACGAGAAATGGCGATCGTGACACCGGTTACCAGTGTCATCGGTGACAGGGCGAAGGCCATGCCGAAGACGTCTACGCCGGAGGCGACGGGTGAGGCACTAAAGCACGCCTGGAAATATACGGGGATATAATCTGTAGGAAGAAGCTACTTAGTAAAGAGTCCAGAGTTTCTAATGAAAATGACAGACAGAGGAGGCACTGGATGATGGTAAAAACAAGGAATGTCTGGAGATGGCCACTCAGAGCTGTCCTAGTGGATAGGAGGTGGTAGGGAACCTGGGACATCATCATGAGTAGATATACCACTATAGGAAGTCCGCCGACATACGACAGGGTTGTTGGGGATACAAGCCTCATAGACTAGGAAACCTGCGAGTCCGGCCAGGCCCAGGATGAGCGGCACCAAGATGTGATACGAAGACCACTGGTACTGGACACCGCCCCATGTGAGACCAATCATGCAAGAAGTAGTAGCCGCGATGACAAGTGCGTTGCCACTACAGTTGTTCAGTCCAACGCCGCACGATGATAAATGACAGCCACTTACGTCCAGTCCATCTTTGCTAACTTTTCGGACAGTGTCCCGGGAGGAGTTCGCAAATTCAGGAAGATCAACACCAAGCCAGCGGCCAGGCCACAGATAGGAATGTTGAGGTCTGATTTATCTTCATTACTGGGTCTTTCGTGAAGTGACAAGGTACGCACAGAAAAGCCACCGCCACTGCCCGCTTTGGGCAAGGGCACCACCTATCACTGGGCCAATGCCGGACGCTATCGTGAAGGTCCTAAGGCAAAGTTGAGCGACTTCACTCCATCATTAGTACGATATACGTACATTGCAATAAGGCCGGTATATAGGCCTCTTTCTCGCAGAGGTACCATGTCTGACAGGATTATCTGACATAGCGAAGCTATCCCGCCTCCTCCCAGGCCCTGAACAGCTATATAATGATCAATCAACGTTGAGAGCAAACTAGCGAAAAAAGCAGCACGGACTTCTGCCTGCGATCAGGAAATTCATATCGGTAGCGGCTCCGCACAGAGCGCTGCCAATAGCGAAGATCACGATCGAACCGAACATAGTAATTTTTCGGCCGAACGTCTGTGGACATATTCGTTCATTGACCGCAACAAAGAGAAGGGAGTTGGGATACCTCAGCGAGGCCTCCACTTAGCGGGACGAAGGCCGTTGTGGCTAGGGTGTAAGCAGATCCCACCCAAACAAACTGATCCCCCTTCAGAGCAGCGACGATGCTGGGCAGAGCAGTCGATACGGCGGACTGTATACGGATCAGCGGATAATTGACGGTTGAGCCAGAGAAAGCGTACCAATTCTAACGCTGTGATGAACTGGGCCATTGTGAGACACAGGAACACCATCCAGAATCGCCAATCGCGTTTGGGCTTCGTATCCTGGGCGGGCTCGACCTTCACAGACTCTTGGGAGGCCTTTGCCTCCTCTGAGATGGATACCGTCTGCGAACTGGGGCCGCTAGGCTGGTCGTGTGACTCCATTCCCTGCGAATACAAGCAGCCGGTCGTGAAAAAGGGTGACGTGGCCTATAAAACTACAGAAGGAGTTACGAAGTGAACGATATGATCATGAGGGGGGACGACTTGTAATTCACAGAGGGGAGACTTACATGAAGCGGGAGGGCCACCCAACTACATCACTTTTCGTGGAATTATAGTCTGTGACTGGAGAGAATGCGGGGCTGCATAGCCATCCCATGCAGGCTAGCGGAGGTATTCAGTTGTTATGATGAGGCTGCCCTACGGCCGTAAGGACGCTGATGCGGGCCACCATATCGAGTTGAGCTGTAGTCGTGTTAATTACCTATTGAGCTAACAGCGACTCCGGTCAGCCTAATGTAAGGGTTTGTCTCCATTTCATAGACGCATGACCTTGCATTCGGAGGTACATGTATGAGGGTGTAGACCTTCGCGATCCGGCCAAGGGGACCCACAAATACACACGCAAGCAAACAATGTCCATCGCCACACGCGTCGTTCCAGTCAGGTCGCGTCTCATGTTCCTCTTTGTAACTAGGGGAAGCGCACGATTGTGTCTCTCCCCCTGAATAAGCCGTTGGTCCCTGCTCTAGATGGCGCTGCGGTCCAATGCTCTTCAGGCATGGGAACGAGATCCGTCTCTAAACTCAGACGATCCTGCGTTGTTGGACCGCGAAATCGAATCCCTCTCTGCTAGGCTTCACACTCTAAAGACTCATCGCAACGCTATCATCCCCATCGCTATCCTTCCCTGGGAGATCCTTGCGAACATATTCTTCTTTCACGTCCACAGAGCGGATCCGCTTCATCGCTGGACCAAAGATGCTGGCTGGATCAACATCGCGCACGTATGTCGTTTCTGGCGCAAAGTCGTGCTTGACACAAGGAACCTCTGGACGACGATTTCATGCTCGGCAAAGGAGTCGACCGCGTTCATGCTAGAGCGGTCGATGTCCCTGTCGTTGACACTGGACGTGTTTGTCCCTGCTGCCCCTCGGGACCAGGAGGCGGTGTTTGAAGCCACTAAGCTGGCGATGGCGCAACTCCATCGAATTGTTGATATCAGAGTGAGTGGCTCCAAGACAGGCACGGAATATTTCTCGTCCATGGACTACATCGTACCGGAACCACTCTTACAGTCGCTCACGTATGCGCCGGTGCAACCCCTGCTCAAAACGGAAGTCCTCGGACTGAAGATTCTACTTCTCATCGCCTCTACGAGCCTGCGTCGTCTGTCTCTCCCCAGGTGCGGTGCGCGTTTTGTGCCCGAACCTTTGCCTATGCTGCAGACTCTCAACCTGGGTATCTGCAACTACAAGGGCCTCAACACAGTGACGTGGATCCTCAAAGCATTGCGCGGCCTCCCTTCCCTGCAATCTCTTACTGTGACATTCAATGACTGCGACGATGTTCGGTCTCTTCCGCTCGATGTGAGGGACAAGACGGCACTTGTCACTTTATGCCACCTCGAGGACCTAACCTTAAGCTGTACTGTGTCCCCTGCTGCGTACATACTGCGTCATCTGACCCTACCACGGTCTTGCGGATTCTCCCTTGGAGTCGAGATGGCGAGACCTCCCTCGGATCATGTGCAAAAAGCCCTGATGCGCGAAATCGTCAGTGAGATAATTGTGGCACCCCTACGTGGGATCTCGTTTGAAATCCAGGCTGATACGGACGACATAGTCATCAGGGGATGGACGTGCCCCCTTCCAGATGACCGTCGCTCAATGACGGCTCTCTACGACGGTAACTACAAGATCAACTTATGGCTGCTCCGGGGAGAGGATTTGGGGTTCCGACAGGGCTCCTGGCTATCCGTTCTGTACCACGTCGGCTCCCTGCTCGGCGACGACCTTGAGCTTCTGCGGGTTCACATGCCCTCGGGCATACTCTTTCCGAGTGCGTGGTGGTCCGCGTTCGGACACCTGAGAAACGTCCATATGCTGCACTTCGGTGGGTCCGATCCCGGTGGATTACTCCTTGCCCTTACATTCAGAACGCACCGTGGCCATAGTGCTGCGGAGGACGGGTTTCTGCCTCGCTTGCGCAGCCTGGTACTCAATGATATCAACTACGGTCCTTGTGAGTATGGCCATTCGACGGCGAGAAAGCTATTCTATACGCTGGAGCACCGATGGCGACGACAGCTCAAGCTGCAAAGGATATGCTTGTACAACTGCGCATACATCTCCATCTCGGACATCTCTAATCTTAAGTCGGGAATCCCAGAGGTATACTGGGATGGGCGCAATCTGGTGAATATGGCTATGGTGACTGAGGCCTGAAGACCCGACACCTCTTGATGTTTGTTACGATGTACGTTTGGTTCACGATGGTCTCAACTATGTGGATTTTGTACTAGTCATGTTGTATCAGTCCTGGTGCGTTTCACAGTCCTGTCCTCTATTTACGTGCGGCGACGAATTATTGTATCAATCAAAGCGGACACATCTATATTGCGAACCCAAGGGTCGCTGGTGCATTTGATTCACAAAGGTTCCTGGAGCGCCATATCTCGAATGCTGATGTGGCCGAGTCGTTAAGGCGAGTGACTTGAATCATCTCATCACTTGGGCATTGCCCGCGTAGGTTCAAATCCTGCCGTCAGCGTGTGGTCTTTTTCGCAATTAATTCTTGTCAAGTTCTTTTCAGTACTGAGGGCTGCGTCATTGCTGTGACTACTGTTTTGTATCTTTATATATAGACAAGTGATGACATGGTAATATATACAGTGGAACGCTCATGACCAGACTCGCACCAAATCAGTCGTAACCTCTACCAGAAATAGGCACAAGCACAGCCACCTCATTGTCATTTCCTCCGAGGACCGACTCGGAAAGGATCTGCTCCCGCTGTCCGTAGCTCACTCGGTGCTATCTCAGAAGGCAGCATTTCTCTTCACAGCACTCCCCACTGAATCAAGCTCAGCGTATATTCTGGTCAGCTAGCGTCATCTTGACCGTCGTGATGTCGTCACTGCGCTCCTCACCAATGTCACCTCTTTCACCCAATGGACCCCCGCGCCGTATATAAGACGCCAGCCTCGCGCAACAGTCCCCATAAATCCCAGTCTCGAACTCACCACGCCCAGCGCAAGTAGCCGATAACTATGGTCGAACTCACGAACCCCGCCACCATGATGAGCCGCCGTTTCAAGCCGGAGGAGATCCCAGACCAGACGGGTCGCGTTGCCATCGTCACTGGCGGATGTAAGTATTCTCGTATGTAGCACGCACGTCTTTTCACGGAACGCATCTTACAGCTGCCGGGATCGGGTTCTACGACGCCCTGGAGCTCGCGCAGAAGAACGCGCGAGTAATCATCATCTCCGCCACCGAAGACCACGGCAAGAAGGCCGAGGAGGAGATCAACAAGCGCGTCAAGGAGAAGGGCGCTGCTGGATCGGTTGAATGGATCGGACAGGACCTGGGGGACCTCAAGGGTGTAGACGCGTTGGCCAAGCGCTTGGCGTCTGAGCTTCCGCGTCTAGACATCTTAATCCTCAATGCTGGCGTCGGACAAGGCGCCTATGGTCTCACAAAAGACGGCCTGGGTAACCACTTTGCTGTGCGTTTATTTCTCAGAGTGTATGTTCGTCCTCATTGCTGACCTTCTGCGTGCGTTATAGGTCAATGATCTCGCACACTATGTCATTGCGCTGCGACTCCTGCCCTTGATCGAGAAAACCGTCTCTTCTGGCTTGACTCCTCCCGGCACGGCTCGAATTGTCTTCCAGAGCTCTGAGACGCACCGCCTAGCGCCGAGCGACGTCAAGTTCGCGTCGAAGGAGGAGATCAACGACGGTCCCGATCGCGATGCGTTCGTCTTGTAAGCCTACTTCGTTACTCAATTCCCTTGAACGTCGATACCGATTGATGGACTCCAGGTATGGTCGCTCCAAGCTCGGTATGATCTACAACGCAAAGGGTTTAGCGAAGCGCAAGATCAAGCCTGATACTAAGATCGTCGTCACTGCCGTCCACCCAGGTACGGTCGACACTGATCTTCAGGACGCCACAACAGAGTCGTACGGCTTCCTCGGAAAAGTGGCCAATAACTTCATGCGTCTCGTCGGGAAGAATGCGCAGGAAGGTGCCGAGGCGTCCCTCTGGGCAGCTACAACTACAGAGATCAACGCAGATAACTGGACGGAGTATCAGGTATGTTGGTGAAGGCTGGTGGTGTGCCTGGACTGCGCTGACATGGCTCGGATCGGCAGGCTAATTATTACTCGGAGCCTAGGGGCAAGCCGCATACGGAGTCGGATACGGCCAAGCAGGAGAGTATTGCTGATAACTATTGGGAGTTGTGCGCGAGCTTGACTAGAGAGATCCTCGGGGAGGAACTGAGATAAACAATGAGAGGACGTATTAGAAGTCAGACACTGTGTACGCTATAATTCCGTGGATGATCAATCGGAGATGCATTCTCACTTCTCTCTGCGTGAGCTCAACGTGAGCTCTCGAGACTTGTCGCTGCTGCGACAGAACACCCATGCAGAGTCGTTTGCACTGCAGCGAGTCCCACCTACTCGAGCAACGTGAAAAACCTTTGCTGCTGCGTCATTATACATGACCAGGACGGACAGGTACGATTCCAAGTCTGAGGGTTCTCAGACTCAAATTTGCTACTATCTTATTTCTTGTCCGGTACCGACAGACACGATTCAGATATTCGCAGATACTTCGGTTGGGAAGAGAGCCTTGTCTTCTCAGCCGCAAAATCGACTCGGTTCGGTGCCTCTAAGACACCATTTGGCAGAAACTGCCAATTAGGAAGTGAATGGTCATCAGGTTCGTGAATTACTTGATGTTGCATTCTATATGATGAGCATTCCGCGATAGCTGATCCTCACCAAGAGAACTCAGACTTTACGCCCATACTCTATGATAAGGCACGGAGCGCGGTCTGGATTGCTGAGAACTTCAGCGGCTGCGCAGACTTGGCCATGCCAGCGTCGACGGCCCACTGGATGTACCAAGCCGTCGAGAGACTGAACCACAGGAAGGTCCATGCATACCCTATGAGCCTGGCCACGGACTGCGGGAAGAATCTGTCCAGCGCCGCTCTCCTTGCCGTGGCGATCACGGCGTCCTCGGCCGTGATTGCCATCGCCTGCGCGATAAAGAAGTGGAAGGACGCGCCGAGGTACTCCTTGCCCACCATAGTGTCCCCGCCCATGTGCACGAGCCCGGAGACCGTAAAGCCAACGTAGAGCTGGGTATAGGAGGAGCCGTTCGTGCCCTTTTTGAAGCCGAAGAGATATACGAAGAATTTCCCGATGGAGGAGATGTACTGTTAAACCCGCGTTGGTCAATGCGATGCGGTCAATGGGACTGAAGGAACTGACGCGACGCATGAGTTGATGCCAGGTACGCCTGGACCGACGGAGGTTATTTCGGGGAAGGGACAACGTAAGTATGTGATATCATACATTCATATGAAAATAGGGACTGCCTCACCCCCAGAATCGTCTCACTGTGTACGAGTCGCTCCACGCGCCGAACAGGTCCGGCCAGTACCTGGGCTCCGATAAGCCCAAAGCGACGCACACCGCGGACAGCGCGGCGTAGTTCATGTTCATGGTCCCGTACGGGAGCGTCATCCAAGCGACGATGTTCACGACACGGCCCGTATACCCCTGCGATGTGAACGGGGATGTGTACGGCGTGGGGTCGGTGTAGTATGGGTTGGACTTGACGTAGGTCTGCGCGAGGTCCACGAGGAGGAAGAACCAAGCCGTGCGGCGGAGCTGGCGCAGGACAAATTGCCAGCGCGGTTTGGTCGGGGGAGTGGGGACGTTGGCAACCTGTGAAAGAGGGCGCTGTCAGTGTGATTACGAAGGAGGGGGGGACGTGTTCGCGCGACACACGGGAAAGGATGATTGACCTGGTAGTTCCAGCCGACGCCTCGAGGGCAGTGGACGGCGCAGAGCATCCACCACCACCGCTGCAGGATGGGGAGCGACGCCGGGTCGACGGTGTCCTTCTCGTGCCGGAAGTCGCGAACGGGGTCTGTCAGCCAGACGAAATGGATGGCCGTGGCGATGTGGCTGGTTATGGCAGAGCCCATGGAGTAGTTATGGAGGGGGTCCCCCGTGGTGAGTTTGAAACCGGAAAAGAGGACAACGCAGTATGCGATGAAGCATGCGAGCTTGATGGAGGTCTTTGGACGGAGACTGATGATGAGAGAGAGGCATACATCTGGGAGGAAAAGATCCCAGAAAGCAGAGAACGGCCTCCTCGGCGTCGAGTCGAGGATGATGGAGGTGTAGCTGGCAAGGCTGCTGTTGGTACCGGTGTGACTGCCGTCCATTATCTCGCAAGGAGGGGGCTATGGATCCAATTGGCTACACTCAATTGGTTACGGTGAGTACCGTCTATCTCTGGATTCGCAGAACTACTGTACGTTTGGCAACGCCGGGGATGTTCGCTCGTTCAAGTGGTAGGGCTCAAGAAGTGCTGGTTACTTCAGGGAGCGGGGAGAGCATCCAGAACTATCGGCCAAGGCTTCTGCACTTATACGTGAGGGTTATCCAAGAGCCTGTGGAGACGTCAAATAAACTTAACCGTGCAAGGAAGGGGAGCATTAGTGCACGGCTCCTATTGGAAATGTTCGCCGGTGATGAAGAGCTTGCTTACTTGCTGCCTGTGCATTTTGAGAGCATGCACGGCATTCAGCTATCTATGCTCGGGCCGGCCTGCCATATATAATACGCAGTGCGAGACTGTCCGTGAAAGGCGACCGCCAGGCATCGTCAGAAATGTACTCAACCCCCTGCCGGTCTCTAATGGCAGATAAATGCCGGATACAAGTGGGGAGGAGACTTGACGCACCTCCGGCAGACTAAGGACCTGCATTTCTACTGCGCTGACAGGTTTGGTCCACAGCGCCATCCATGTACTATTGATCAGGCCTAGGACGCACCTCGTATGGCACGATGCGTAGCTTACTTTAGCTTAACCTTATTACTTCCCATTTTGTGTCACTAAGTACCTTGCTACCGAATTGGGAAAGACGCGTTTGCGCGCATCTGATTGGCTCCTAGGCACACTGGAGTACGCCAGTTGCGACATTGGGAGCTGGCCGGGTATAGCGTATTATTAAGTAGCTCCTACCACTGGGTACATCATCCATATTGAGCATGGAGAAAACTGTGAAATTAACGGGTCAAAGGTCAAACTTTTTTCATGATTGTCCATTGCACAATTGGTGAACCGAACTAGAATAATACTACTTTTGAGTGTGCAAAAATCTGATTGTGGCACAGGATATGTTCTTTGTTCAGCACTATTCATTGAGCTTTCATTTGTTTTGCAAGGCAACACTATGAACAAAATTTGACCTTTGTCCGGTTTCTTTCACACTTTCTCAGTGGCTCAATATGGGAATTGCACCCAGTGTACCTCACTTTCAGGGCTCTATATAGTATACAGCAAGGAGATCTTGTCCATGACCTACCCCATACTGGAGGACCATCCGTAGTACAGTGTACATTCTGCCATGAAGTTCACTCTTCGACGGACATGAAGATCAGGAATTTGCGTACCCTACACACCTCCGCCCGTATCACTCCCCTTGGCGCAGCCTTGGTGGCGTGCCCGTAGCACCGTTGGGGTCCGAAGGGGGATACAACTGCCTTTATGAGGATGCAAACAGAGAGATACCTTCCACGAACCTCTTTGTTGACGGTGCAGATTAAGTCGTCGAGCATGACTCCTTGCTCATTCGCCAGACCCTTCGAATGAATCTAGGAAGTGATAGATCATAGATGTGACCAGAAGATAAAATGCTAAATATTCATCGAGTGAAGCGGTCGAGCTCCCTCCTTATACGTTGCCAATGGGTCACTCAAAGTAGGAGCGTGTGGATACCTTCGATTACTTTGTGACATGGGTACCCTTGGGGTGTCCTGTGTAACATTGGTGTAATGGTTTTCACTTTGTCTGCTTGTCCTCATGACATTCTTGTCATGCGCAAAACTGATCTCCATCGCTTCGAGGTCTTGTCAGTAGAAGATCATGAAGGGAGAGTGGTACTCAGGTAAGCTTACGTTACCACGGCCCGCTTCCATCGACATATCAGTGGTGCGACGTCTCGCAGCATATCACTGTCACTGTCAACAAGATGCCAGAGTCACTCTCTACTACGCGATGCCGTTCTCGATGTTAGCAGTCTCAGTGCATTGGATCAACCCAAACCAGAAACTCATGATGTCCCGATTCTGATTCCGTTATGCCAATCAGCTTCATACACATACCAAATTAAGGCTTTCTGGCCATTCTGTCATCAAACACCAATCGAACATGTATGCATGGCACGTTTGTTGGCTTCAGACTGAAGCA